GATATGTATATATATATATATATATATATATATATATATATTCAACCAATTAATTTCAAGGTTTAGTGCAAGAACAGCCACTGTGTCTACAAACGCAGACACAGACACTGGTGAAAATTAACTCTGCTCCGTATCTTGACAGGAAAAACATATTTACAATGGAACTGTAATATTGTTTGTTGTCATGTAGTGTTCATGCAATCACAGGGATGAATATATCAACATTACCAGGAAGTTGCTATAATTATTTTGGTTTGTGCTGGAACTCCATACATTATAAAATCTCTCTCACTCCACTTCTCTCTGACTACTGAATGAACAGTGATTTCATCTCTTTGTAGTTCCCTTTCTTCCTGTTTTCCTGCATGCTAGAAATGCTGAAAGATCTTTCTCAACCTGATCCATACTCCTAGCACCTTCCATTTTCCTCAGGCTATTTCAAGTGAAGAAAACATCGGATGACTTATGTATACTGTATGATTAGTCTTTCAACAAAGCATACAGATTTTTTAACAACTGAACATTAAAACAATGCTGCAGCTCTAGATTCCAAGCCACAAGTCATTCACAGTTGTACTACTACATGCAAAGCACAGCAGGTGCAATCCAAAACTATTTAACTTCAGAAAGGTGAAGAAAAAAGAATGCTCCGGCTGCAATATAGTTAGAAATCCAAGGCTCTGCATTTAGAAGGTTTAAATCTTCTAATTTTATCAGTTTTTATTAGGGAGTGTCAAAGCCCAAGCAATTGAGTTTTATGTCTGCAGCATTAGTGTTACAAACATTTATTAAGTCTAGAGTTTCAAGCTAGTTAGGCACAGACTGCTGATAACAAAATAGATATAAAATGTAATCTCAAGAAAGAATACCATTTAATTCTGTAAGCACAGGTCATGTACGAAAGCTAAATACAGTATTTGGTTCTGTGCCGTGTAAATCAGCCAGCACCATTCAGTCACAGCTGTAGTCCCAAACCAAGGAATGCAAAAGGCACACAGACTGTCCACCCTCCATGCCCCATCCAGGACACAGGCAGCCCTTGGGTTAAGAGCCCTCACAGAGCTGAAAGGGAGTTTTGCACCTGAAAGGGAGATGTGCTCCCTAAAAAAATGCATTCACAGACACTTGCATTACTTAGAGAATAAACTATATTTGCTGAAATTAAACAAAACACATACTGGTTACTCAGTTCTCTTATGTCAGACTTTTTGAACCCCCACTTCTTAGACAGTTGCTCTTGCTGATCAGTTTGTTCCAAAAACACAATCTAAAATAAAGAAAACATAGTTAGATACTTTAAACCTGTATCCCACATCAGCTTCACATAAAGGCAAAACAAGTCATATCTTAAAACAGATTTTACACACTTACTACAAAGGTGATGGGTTTGCACTTTAATACTTGTTATTCCAAGCATGATTTTGAAATACCTGCTCACAATCCAGTGAATAGCTGCACCCACTTTGTAACTTGTAAGAAGACAATTAATTAATTCTCAAGAAAAACACAGGCAGAACCACACAGACTTCAGTGTCCACTGGCATTCTTGTAACGTGCCACCATGCTAGCAGTATGGTTATTTATTGTGGAGGTGTGTAACAGTCTTACAGGAATGCAATTATAGTATTCAAAACCAGATGGGTCAAATTAATTGCTTTGCTTAGGACTGACTGGCACTGAGATAACTGTTTTCTATTTTCTGCTCGCATTGCTAATGTTGGTTTTGGGTTGGTTTTTGTTTTGTTTTTGTTTTTTTTAAATGCTTAGGAAGAGAAAAGAAATTGAGGGGAAAAAAATGCAGTTGATCTTTCCATTTTCCAGAACAGACTAAAAGCATACCTAAGATCTTTGTTTATTTCAAAAATCCAGAACCTAACTCAGCTCCATTTGACTCCTAGAGGACATCAACTCTACTGATGCTGAGTTTCTGTTGCCAAAACGGAATTTTAGCAACTCTCAACTCTTTAATTCTCTGATCTGGCAATAACAGGCAAGACAACTCTCCAAGAAACAAAGAACAGGGTGTCTAGGAACTGCAATGCCTGCTACAGGCTCCAAGGAGGATTTAAGTTTCCACAACACTTGACAGAGTAGAGAACCTTGCTGCCTCCCCAAGCCAAAGACTGTATATCCTAGGCTTTCAGGAATCATAGAATACCAGGTTGGAAGGGACTTCAAGGCACATCTGGTCCAACCTTTCTTGGCAAAAACATGGTCTAAACATGATGGTAAAGCATTTTGTCCAGCTGAATCTTAAAATTATCCAACGTTGGGGAATCCACCACTTCCCTGAGGAGTTTATTCCAACAGCCGATTGTTCTCATTGTGAAAAATTTTCCTTGTGTCCAACTGGAATCATCCCAGGAGTAATTTGTACCCATTAAGCTTGGCTTTTCCATGTGACTCTTTGTATGAAGGGACTCACTACCCTTTAAAAACAGGAACATGTCGGTAAGGTCTCCCCTAAACTTTCTTTTCTCAAGGCTGAACAAACCCAGTTCTCTCAGCTTTTCCTCATACAGCAGGCTTCCCAGTTCTTCGATCATCTCTGCAGCCTTTCTCTGGACTCTCTCCAGCCTGTCCACATCTTTTTTGTACAGTGGAGATCAAACTGAACACAGTATTCTAGGTGTGGCCTGACAAGCACTAATTAGAGGGAGATAATGACTTCTATATCTCTACTGGTGATGCTCTGGTTGATGCAACCCAGCATCCCATTGGCTTGCTTTGCGCTGCAGCACTGTTCACTCATATTGAGCTTGTTGTCTACCAGCAACCCCCGTCCTTTTCCACAGAGCTGCTCCCTAGCCAGGTAGATCCCAGCCTGTGCTGCACTCCTGGATTCAGTTTTCCCATGTGCAAAACCTTACATTTGACTTTGTTGAACTTCATAAGGTTCTTATTACTCTACTCTTCCAACCTATCCAGGTGTTCCTGCAGGGTGGTTCTCCCTTCCAAACTGTCCACTTCCCCATCCAATTTTGTATCATCGGCAAACTTAATCAGGGTATGCTTGATCCCACCATCCAGAGCATTATGAAGATATTAAACAGCATTGGGCCCAATACTGATCTCTGAGGGACCCCATTTGTGACAGGTTACCAGTTTGAAAGGAAGCTATTGTCCCCCACCCTCTGGGTACGGCCTGTCAGCCAGTTCCCAACCCACCACACAGACCACCTGTCTAGTCCATAACATCAGTTTCTCTGGAGAATGCTGTGGGAAACCATATTGAAAACTTTGGAGAAATCCATGTAGACAATGTCCACCGCTTGCCTATCAATCAAGCAGGTTAATTCATTGTAGAATGCAATCAGGCTTGTCAGGCACAATTTGCCCTTGGTGAATCTGTGCTGGCTTTTCCAAATCACATGCTTCATTTGACTTGTGACAGCCCCTGGGGGGATTCATTCTGTAACTTTCCTATGGACTGAAGTAAAACTGATTGGCCTATAATTTCCAGGATCCTCCTTAAAACTGTTCTTGTAGATGGGGACAACATCAGCCTTCTTCCAGTCTTCTGGGGTGTTCCCAGATCTCCATGACTTCTCAAAGATTATGGAGAGCAGTCTCACAATGGACACCAGTCATCTCTCCTAACATCCCCCGGTGGATATTGTTAGGGTCCATCAATTTGACGGGTCAAGCTCCTGTAATAGTTCATATACCAACTCTTTCTTCACTGATGGTGGGTCTGTGTTTGCATCAGCCTGGATTTTTGCTCCCAAGGCCTGGGGCTTGGTAAAGTGCTGGTAAAGACAGAGGTGAATGAAGTGTTGACAACCACTGCCTTTTCAGTATTGTTGGTGACTAATTCACCTCTCCTGCTTAACAGTGAGCCAGTATTTTCCTTCCGTTTCTGCTTGTTGTTCATGCACCTGAAGAACCCATTCTTGTAGTTTTTGACATCTGTGGCCAATTTCAATTCAAACTGCGCTTCTGCTTTTCTGACTGCATCTCTGTATGCCCTGGCAATGCCCTTGTAGTTCTCAACGGGTGTTTGTCTGCTTTTCCATCCCTTGTACACTTCTCTTTTGCTTTTGAGCAGACTCAGAAGCTTGCAGTCAAGCTAAGGGGGTGTCTTGTTCTACCTGCTTCTCTTACCTTTAAAGGGGATGAACTGTCTTTGTGCTTTCAGGAGATCATTCTTGAAATCCTCCAAGGAAGCTTCCCACAGAGTCACTCACAGCTGAGCTCTGAGTGAGATGAAGTTTGTTCTTCTAAAACCTAAAGGTTTTGTCTTAGCACTAACCTTCAGCACGCTCAGCAGGATTCCCAAACTCCACAATACTGTGATCACCGCAGCCAAGGCTATCGTTAACTGAGATATTACAAGGCAGGTTTTCTTGGTTTGTGAGTGGCAAGTCATTCCTGATTGGTGCATCTAACATTTGATCAAGGAATTCTTGTGTAAACCCAGTTTCTGCCAGAAACCAACTCATGGTGTTCTAACTCCCTTGGTATCGGAGCTCATTCCTCTAAGTTCAAGGGAATACTCTTACTGCTATCAGCATCTTTCTGCTCCTGTGAAGAGTCTCACACTGAGGGCCTGTATCGCCCTCATGACAGCAGTTTCTAAGGCAGCAATCAAAAAAACATGTAAGGGCAAGATCAAATAGTGTAAAAAGGCAATAGGAAGGAACTTAGCAGGAAGATCAAGAGGACCAAAAAAGCACTGTTTAGCATTTATTTGCACGCCTATTTTTTTATGTGTATGACATTAACTTTTGCATTTTCTATTTTTTCTATAGAGAAAAGTAAGTAGAGGCTGCTAAACTGTAGACAAGAAGTTTTTGGGTACCTTGTATTTCAAATGCACATATGGCTTCTATGATTTACACTGTCTAAAGAGCAGATGTTTTAAATTCTTAATCAGAAAAAAAAAAAAACTCTTAAAATCATACCATATGAATAAATACCACACTAGCAAAAATCGCAAAAATATTGTAGTACATTAATACTTCACATGAAGCAGCATCTCTATCCTTCTGAAAAGGAATGAGCTATATATCTGTGTATCTGGAGAGGGCTTAGAATACAGACCTAGTGAAATTTCTGATGAGCAATAAAGAAAATGTGACTCAGAGCTGAAGTCAAAATGGATGCAGAATGAGTAATGTTAGAGCTGCTGAAAAAAAAAAAAAAAAAAGAAGAAGAAGGAAAGCAAGAAACATGAAACACCAGATGGCAAATTCTGGAAACAGGCGTTGCCATGGAAAAGAAGTGGCTATTATATTCTCTTAGGGTGCAGATAAATAAAACACTTAAATCATGGAAGAATAAAAAGAATGTGTTTCAAGGGAGATGGACACGTGAAATCAACCCTAAACCTGACACCTGGTCCATTATTGTCGAATGTGGCTATGGATGAGTCAGCAAAATATCTACTCTTTTCAGACTTCCCAACAGAACTCCTTGGTCACCCAAGAGATGTTCCCCATTGCTTTAGGATGCATTTGCTCTGGCCAGCTTTCTAACACTGAATGCTTTAAGGTCTCTGAGTTCCCACATTTGGACATTTGCTTGAATATTTGCTTGTACATCAAGGTAACCAACCTGGTACACTGATCCTTTAAATTAGTTCTGGACTTCAATACTGTAAAAGCAAGAAAAAACTCTATGGCAGAGTCACTACAGAGTCAAGAGATGTGCACAAGCAAGGCTAAGACCTTCGGCTTGTAAAGAAGGAAGTCAAGGACAATAACCATCACTTTGGGAAAGGTGTATCACAAAAACCAAGACCAAAAGCTGCTCACACCAATGCCCAAACACTTTGATCAGTTCTGATGTGGGACCCATGTGATGGCTCTACAGGACCCAAAGTTGAGCAGCTGAGACCTCCCTACCCTCATGCCTAGCTCAAATCTTTTTTATTCCAAGAGATGCCCAAAGCTCCTCCGTCAATGCATAGCTGGTCCACTAAACTACTCATCAACCCTGATGTGGTCAACCCTGACTGCCTCCATGCACCACAGTGCAAGTAACTTTGCTACCAAAAGAACAGAAAGTGAATGACACCGGCTGAAGGAACACACATTTTTCTGATCCAACCGTGCCCGTGTTGTTTCTGGCTGTGACATGCATAGACGAACATGAGTAAGGGGTCCATCCTTCCTTCCCCTGCCACATACTTCTCTTTCCTCACTGTTACCACAATGATTAGCTGCCTTTTACAATTAGAGACATGATGTTGCTTGCCTAATTCCCAAAAACAGAATGTGAAGCTAGATGAGAGACCGGAGCACTTACTAGACCCAACTCC